GTAAGATCCCGCGAGGTCTCGGGCGGGGAGTCTTTTTTAAAATCAAGGACAAGTGTATTGGCGCACAGAGCATGTACGAGATGAGGTGCCTGATGTCATGTCATCGGTCCATCCATGATGTTGCACCTCCTCTTGCTCATGCGCAGTACACTCACCTTTACAAAAAAAAAGCATTTCTTCCAAAGACCCTACGAGATCTTAGGTAGGAGGGGGATCTATTTTTACATATGCATGTGCGAGATGAGGTGCATGATGTCATGTCATCGGCCCATCGATGATGTTGCTTCTCCTCTCGCACATGCGCAGTGTACTCATCTGTGAAAAAGACAAAAAAGGCTTTTGTAGTAAGATCCCGCGAGGTCTCGGGCGGGGAGTCTTTTTTAAAATCAAGGACAAGTGTATTGGCGCACAGTGAAATAAAGGATAAGTGTATTGGGGCACGGAGCATGTACAAGAGGACATGCATGATGTCATCTGCCCATCGATGATGTTGCTCCTCCTCTTGCCCATGCGCAGTACACTCACCTTTAGAGGGGGGGGGAGCCTTTCTTCCGAAGAGCTCATGAGATCTCAGGAAGATGGGGGTGGGGTTTATTTTTTGTCAATACAAAAGTAGATGAGGTGCATGATGTCATCAGCCCATTGATGATGTGGCTCCTCCTTCTCTCTCGCATGCGTCATACACTCATCTGTAAAAAAGAAAAAAAAGCCTTTCCTACTAAGGTCTCGTGGGGTCTCGTGGTTGCAGAATCTTTTTTTATCAAGGATAAGTGTATTGGAGTGCGGAGCATGTACGAGATGAGATGCATGACGTCATGTCATCATTGGTCCATCGATGGCGTTGCGCCTCCTCTCACGCATGCGCAGTACAGGCATCTGTTAAAAAAAAAAAAAGCCTTTCCTTGTAAGATCGGGCGAGATCTCAGGGAGAGTCTTCTAACAGTAGATGAAAGTATTGGTGCACGACACATGTCCTCATACGGTTCATCTTGCGCATGCGCAGTGTGCCAATATATTCATATGTTGATTAAAAAAAAGACCCCTAGATCTTAAGAATGTTTTATCAACAGATGAGCGTATCGGAACGCACGGTGCATGCGCAACATGAACCACATGTTTATCTCCCCACTTCCTGTATTGGTGACCGCACAGGAAGTGATGGGGAATGTACCAATGATGAGAAACTTGACTGAAGTCAGTCAATATGTAAAAAAAAGTTGTCAGGATGGCGTGATACAAATAAAGCTTTGGAAGGCCCTTTCGAGACCCGGTAAGGCTTCGGATGAAGCTTTCCTCTTCTCTTATCACATGCAAAGTGTGAACTTTTGTCAGCTGAGTGACACAGTGATCGCAGACCGCCATCTTCCCCGAAGGCAGATCTAGATTGGAGTTTATTTTCTGTACATTCCCCAAGCAGTGAATCTTGGCTGAACCTTCCCAGCACCTTGTACCCACACACTCAGCCTCTGTTTCCAATAAAGACTTCAGAGAACATATGAAAACAATCGTTAAGAGTTCAATTAAAATCCAGACAGAAATGATTTCTTATTTTAGTATTGGATAGAGCAGGAAAGGAATAGAACCCCTGAAATGACATAGGAAAATGAAACCATGTGCTCATCAGCGCCATCTAGTGGTCAAAGTGTAGTATTACATGGCAATACATTCAGACTGGGAAAAATCTATGAAGAACATTCATTTTGGTATTATTTTCCCAAAACAAATGTTTGCAGATAT